AATAAAAATTAGAGAAAAGTTTCCAAACTAGCGGAAAATGCCTGTTTCTCCGATTTCTGTATTTTGACGAGCGTCTGATTACACCACGCTGCCTCACATATATATATATATACATGTATATCAATATATTATAGTAAGGTTGGACCAGGAGGATTCATGACACTGGTCTGTGCACACTGTGTGGAACGACCCCGTTTTGCTCCATCGAGTTTGACCTGAAGGAAGTCCAAACTATGGGTGGTTGGCGGGTGCTCTGTTGTAGTTTCCTCCTTCTTTTCTATCAAACACTTTTTGTCCTATTCTGTGGATGGTTGGCGGGTGCTCTGGTGTGGTTTGCTTCTTCTTTCCTATTGAACATAATTATATCGTCCTTATCTCCCCTTTTTCTTTTTTATGTTTTTTACTCTCTTCTGTCCCCGTCGTTTTATGCCAGGAAATTTTTGAAATTAGATCTTTGCAAACTGCCATTGTAAACGACCAAGACAAAAATGTGAAATTATGCGATTCTGTTAATTTTAACAAAGAATGATAATGGAAAATAATTAGAAATTATGCAAAAAATGATCAAATTTTGCTAAATTAAGCGGGGTGCATAAAACCACGGGGACAGTCTCTTGTAACACCTCTAATCTTCTGGCGCTCATATGACCTTATGCAGTTGCGAGCGCCGTAAAACCTCTACTAAAACGAACTAAAAAGTTGTCCTGATCTCTCCTCCTTTTTTGTGTTTGTAACTCTCTTGTATCGCCTATAATCTTCGGCACTTATATGACCTTATTGTGTTGCAAGTGCCGTAAAACTCTTACTAAAACTAAAAGAAGTCCAAATTGCGGTCCTATCACATTCCGCTGATTGGCCGGGCTAACAAAAGATCTATTGACATACCGAACATTAACCTTACGATTGATTGTTTTAATTGAAACTGATCACATCGTGACTGGGTGGTTGGCGGGTGCTCTGTTGTGGTTTGCTCCGTTTGCCTATCAAACATCTATCGTTCTTATCGCCCCTCTTTCTTTTTTGTGTATGTTACTCTCTTGCAATTCCTTTATTCTTCGGCACTTGTATGACCTAATTGTTTTGCAAGTGCAGTAAAACTCCTACTAAAACAAATTAAAACAAATAGTGTTTTAGAAAATCAATCATATCTGATTTTGTAGGGTTTAATGGAAGAATTATGCTAAATTAAATGGTAGCTTTGGTCCATCCTCGGAGAGGACAATGTGGCCGTCATCACTTGTCTCAAACCAATACAGTAAAGTAAGTACGTTTAGTTTATTCAGTGTTTAAGGCCATTGACCCACATCACATCATACAAAACACCCATTTGTTAAATAAAGCTTCCATTTTATAATGAAAAAGTACAGGTAAAGTTGTGCACTTAAGAGATATTTTCTCTTATCATGGCAAACCATTAAAACGAAGATTTGAAGGTGGCGTAGGTGGTCTAGTGGTTGGGCTACCGGAGTCTTAGTCGTGAGGTTGTGGATTGAGGCTTTAGTCGGACCTTTGTTGTGTCCTTTGAAAAAACCCCCGATTTGAACAAATGTTCCCTTTTGCATGGATTCTGTCATAGATGGGCATTACGTTGGAAGGTCTCGCCACTAAATCCTTTGTCTACAATGTTGCCAAGGGAGTGAAACATATAATAGGCTAACAATTGTGCACTATTTTTTCCCGGAGGTTTTGTGAGACTTTCAGCAATGTAGATCTACACTAGGGACGCACTGACCGTTTGACCTATCATGTATAATAACATATTTGGCTGCATGGATGGGGCTGTGAGGTCAGCCGTGCCACAATGTCTTCCAAACGTCGGGATTTTTTAAATTCTTTTTACGTTCACAGTTTTATCAACCTCTGTTGTTTTTCGCCTCCGCCCCCTTTTGCCGTGGGTGGTTGGCAGGTGCTCTGGTGTGGTTTGCTCCTTCTTTACTATTAAACAACTATCGTCTTTATCTCTCCTCCTTCTTTTTGTTTGTTTGTTACTCTCTTGTAACACCTCTAATCTTCGGCACTTACATGACCTTATTGCGTTGCAAGTGCCTTTAAACTCTTACTAAAACTACCCCCCCCCTCACATTTTGCTTTCCAAACACGTTCTCTGCGAAAACATTTATTGAACGACAATAGTTCATAGAAGTTCTAATCCCTTGTTAGTCATTTTTAACTTACTTTGTTTTTTTGATGTTTCAATGGTCTCGACCTATCTTTTCAGTCTTAAATTCAAAGGTCGCGCATTCTACACAGCGTTAAGATAGGCTGCAGTCCCAAAACATACCATAGTTGAACCAGCTCTAACAACCACATGTTTGAGTGGTTAGAGGGTGCTCTGGTGTGATTTGCTCCTTCTTTCCTATCAAACATCTTTATTCTATCGTCCATATTATCTGTCCTACTTCTTTTTTGTGTTTATTTCTCGCTTGCAACACCTATGGTCTTCAGCACTTATATGACCTTATTGTGTTGCAAGACCGTAAAAACTGTTACTAAAACTAAAACTAAAACAACCACCTGTCCAAGACAATCGCCTGTACTAAAGAACACTTCCAACACTTCCATCCCTCCTCCTTGCGTGTTTTCTTATCCTGTATTATAACGAGACTGTCTGTGATATTCCACCTGTCTAAGAAAACCACCTATCTAAGACGACTGATTTTCTCCTGGACTGAGGGTGGTGAAATAGTATAGGTTTAACGTCCCTTTCAACACTATAAGGTTATTTAAAAGAAGGGACCTCCGAGTTTAACGTCCAATCTGAAAGGACCGAGCCAATAATTGGGAAATTCTTTTAAAGTGCCTTTCCCAAGGACACAACGTCGGACCGAGCTGGGGCTCGAACCCGCGAACCCGCAATTTCACGAATACGGGTCCGGTAGCCTAACCAATAGGCCACGGACGCCACTACTGAGGCTGGGTGTGCTGGACAATTCAAAGTGTACACAATACTTCCTTATACGCTACCTCAGAATTACAAAGTTCTGCCCGCTCGGTACCTACTTTGAGAAATTGACATTAAGGATTTTGAGTTTCACATCATGTCAAGTAATTTCAAATGCATTTATTTGAATAATATCTTGATGACGAATCCGAATGATATTACGATTTTGATAGAGCAGATAGAATATTTGGTTTCTGACCTCATGGTCTTATTAACTCAAAATGGTCGAAAATGTCAGATAGAACTTTGTAATTCTGAGATAGATCTAGCGAATACTTTGAACAAACAACACGATTTCCGGGTCATAATAATAATAATAATGTAGCGTACTTATAGTTAATCTTGTGATTAATATTTTCTTACTTGGACTTTTGCCAAACCCTCTGTGCCACCGCGCGGTGGATGGTGGTTGTTGTTGTTGGGTACCGCGCTGTTACATGATGTACTTTTGTACTTTTTACTTTCTCTCCGTCTGTATGTATGGCTTACCTTTTCTCCGCTCCCAAAATACCCCCTATTGTATCAATGTGTTCTTTTAAGACTTATAACTCCGACCCTGTGGTTATTATTATTATTATTATTATTATTATTATTATTATTATTATTATTATTATTATTATTATTATTAATATGTATTATCATTATCATTATTATTTTTTAAAAACATTTTTTTGGGGGGGGGGGGGGGTGGTTAAAGTTGAAGGTTTAGTTTCAGTAAGAGGGTTACAGTACAATTAAGTCATATTTTTGAGTGCCGAAGATTAGAGGTGCTACAAGAGAGTGACTTAACACACTCACACACACACACACACACACACACACACAAATAAAGAGGATGGATCAGGGCGATGGGTATTTTATAGGAAAGCAGGTGCAAACCACACCAGAGCACCCGCCAACTACCCGCTACTTTTCCTTATCTGTATGTTTTTAAACTTTTTAAAAGCACCAAACTGTTCGTTATAGTATTGATTGTCTATGTGCTCCTTTTAAAGTCAAAGCTCAAACTAAACGGCTTTGTAATGTGAAGCAAGCCCTTTGAATATATATATATATATATATATATATATATATATATATATATATATGTATACACACATTAAGTGGTTTTGTGTGTGTGTGTGTGTGTGTGTGTGTGTGTGTGTGTGTGTGTGTGTGTGTGTGTGGCGGGGGTTAAGAATTAACACCATTGTCTCGTCGAGTACACTGGGACTGTGGTTTGAATGGTAGTCTTGGAACATTTTCCTTCTGAACAGATGTCAAGAGACTTCTTCAGGGTGTCTTTTCAAGTATACAGTGTATTGTGGTGTCCGTTAACATTTTTAAACCCGTGGTCAAACACGGCGCGCGCGCAGTCAGGAGGAATAGAACAGTAAAAGAAATTTATTTCTTAAAATAAAACAACAACTAAAACCCTTTTAAATAGCGTCAGTGGTGTAGAGGTTAAACACTTTGCTGTCGTCACACGTAGTCACAGAGTTCAATTCCCATGTGGGGAGAATTATTATAGAGGTGTTCTCGGTCTTTCTGCTGGTATCCCTCTCAGCCCGAGTTAATATTTTTAAAAAAAATTAGTAGAGGGTTTTACGACGCTCGCAACTGCATAAGGTCATATGACATGAGCGCCAAGGGGTGGGTGTCAACAGAGTTATTTAGCTTCCCAAATTAGCAAAATTGTGTCGTTGGGGGTATAAAACATTGAAAAGAGTGACATGTGTACTTACATATGTAGCTTACTTTTATTAATAATAATTTAGAGCCTGCTTGTATTTTCGTCCGTGTTTGATGTAGCGCTTAATCGGCTGCTCGCACTGTATGCTTCCTGGGAAGCTGGGAATGGTAAAATAAGTCTTCTGTGGTCTGCTGGGGTAATAATAGAGTGCAAAGCGCATAGAGCTTGCTGTTGAGCCATATACGCTGTAAAAGGCTTTATTATCATTATTATTATTATTATTATTATTATTATTATTATTTTTATTATTATTATTATTATTATTATTATTATTACGATTATTATTATTATTACTATCATCATCATTTCTATTTCTGCTGTTTTCAGGAAGAAAATGCGGTATCGTTTCGCTGTACCTGGAGGGGGTGTGACCACACCAGCTGTACCAGTGACGCTATGGAGAGGCACATCAGGAGGGCACACTTCGAGTGAGTAACCACACACGTCTTGAAACTGTTTAATCAGCTCGTTCTTAATTTGGGTTTGAACAAACTCCAGGGGTTTGATTGATCTGTTTATGGGGTTCTGGGGAGAGCTAGACACACATACTGTGTTTTTTGCATCTGGGGTTGCTTGTTTGTTGTTTTTTAAAATAATTTTTTTTTAAATAACAGTTTCCTGGCAAATGCAACATAACAAAGTCACACAAGTGCCATAGATTAGAAGTCTTAAAAAAGAGCAACAAACACATTAAAAGAGAAACAAACACATTAAAAGAGAAACAAACACATTAAAAGAGAAACAAACACATTAAAAGAGAACACATTAAAAGAGAAACAAACACATTAAAAGAGAAACAAACACATTAAAAGAGAAACAAACACATAAAAAAAAGGAAGATCAGAAGGATCATGACAATAGATGTTTGATAGGAAAGAAGGCGTAAATGGCCCCAGAGCACCCCTCAACCACCTATTTGCATCTTTTCTGCTCACCCCTCTGAAGGCTTCGGTGAATACGTGTTTGAAACTTGTGGGGTTGGGTGTCTTCAAGAAGAATGACAGGAACCACTACCCTTGTGTGTTGGGGGGAAAGAAAAAAGCCCTCCACACACGATTAGGAGTTGTGGTCCTGCCTCGTTGGGAAACGTCACACTTGGACAACTACACTTCATAAAATTGCATTTTAAAAAATCATCTTCACTCCCCCCCCCCCCCCCGCCCCCATTTTCCCTCTATATCATTGTATTTTGACTTTGACGTTCAAGAGGAAAGTACATGTGTGTGTATTGAATGATTGAATGTGCTTTTATTTTTAATCTCTTATCAGCCGCGACAGTGACTTGGAGATGACGGACAATGAGGAAGAATTTCACTACACTGAAGTCGACGTCTCCTCTCAGTCCATTTCCACTATGACACGGTCCTTCGCCGCGATGAACACATCTTCACCTCAGGAACACACTACATTTGGGCCCCGCCAGAGACACATCAGTGCTGATAATGTCAGTAGCGACAATGCAGGGGGCATGGCGATAAAGGACACGGGGCACGGCATGCGGGGTGATGGAGGAGTGTTTGACCACGACTACCAGAGAAAGGTAAGGGAAAATCTGGTTCATCATCATCATCATCATCATCATCACTGCCTTTTTCATCCTAGATCCGGATATAGACCACGAACAAACACTTTCCACCTTTCCCTATTCTGGGCGAGTCGCTTGATGTCACTCCATGTCTTCCCACTTTTCTGTACATCCATTTCTGTGACTCTTCTCCAGGTTCTGTATTTTGAGAATTTTGTGCTTTCATTACACTGTGGAGTCCTATTTAACCGAACATGTGTAATCTGAAAACTGTGGTAAACCGAAAGAAAAGAGATTCCCTGATTGTTTTGTGCGCTACTTTACCATGATTTGGGTGAGGGAAAAATTTGAAACTACCAATTTTTCTTCCTAGAGCAGCAAAATATTATTAAATGTTTTTATTTGTGATGTGATTAAAAATGATATGGCGTCCTCGATGAAGTTTATATGATTACAGCTGATGTGATGAAAAGTCAAAGTAAATAATTATAGATGATAAAAAGAAAGTTAGGAAATTAAAAAAAACCAGATGCTGTCTTATTGATACTGTCTGAGAGTGAGAAAGTAGAAGTTAGAAAAGCTTATCTGTCTTGCACTTGTACTTACCTTATAATTCATTTAACGTCATTTCAGATGTCGAAACACTCACAGTCCAGTTCCAACGTGAGCAGCGAGTCTCAAGGCCAAGGTCAAGCCTCCAGCTTGCCCATCAGCATCTCTCAAGGCCAGATCCAGAAGTCACTGTCGTGGCAGATTCATTCCTCATCTCCCGGTGCTCTGGTAAGTATTTTTAATGTTTTTGTTTTTGTTACTCTTTCCCGGGTGCCTTGATAGTGGAAGCAGACTTTGTGCTGTTGAGGCTACAAAGGTGAGCAGAGTTAGCCTTATTCCCTGTTGAGACTTTTCTGTTGACATCCACCACTTGGCGCTCATATGACCATTTTTTTTTCCATTTTCAAAATTAGAGTTTGTTGTTCTCGAGTTGCACTTTGTTTATATCAAATTAAAGAAGAGAACATGCTTCTTAGATTATATAACTTTGCAGTGATGATAGGGATTTTAGCCTATACACTTCTTTTTATTAATGAGAAGGAACAATCTAATCTTGAGAGGCAGCAGATGGAAGTCTTTATCTTCTTTTAGTTTAGTATTCACCTACATTAGGTCATATGAGCGCGTCTTATCTTCATGAAGCAGGTCTTGGGAAAACTTTATAAATAAATTTCTCTTCATGTCATTTATGTAGAAAGGTTTATCTCAATACTTCATGCACGTATGCGATATATGGACAGAGATTATTTCTTGGTTGTGAAGAATGGAGGGATGAGTGATGCTCCTCTTTACAGTCTCTACAAAACACAAGGCATCACAAGAATAAAATGAGAAATGGATGTAAAGAGGAAACAGGTTCTAAACTTTAAATTTTCTTCCGATGTAAAAAGGTTTATATTTGTATTTGACTTTTAGAAAATTCGAATGTCCATGCAGAAGACATGTTAAAAAGCAAATGGACTTTTGAAGCATGTAATTTATTCCCATCTCTTCTGTTCACAGGTATCCCCAACTGGACGGCACAGCAAACTGACCCCACAAGAGCGACTGTTCCAACATCAGGCTCAGTCTCCCAAATCGAACGTGGCACCTACAACTGTCAAGGTCACCCAGCACCGCCGGCCTCGCAGCGAGGTGCGTAAGTGTCGTAAAGTCTACGGCATGGAGCACCGTGACCAGTGGTGCACACAGTGCAAATGGAAGAAGGCGTGCACCAGATTCATTGACTGAGGGAATTTGGGCAAAGTTTTTTGGTGATTTTTTTTTTATTTGGTAAAAAGGTTGTCGTAAAATTACCTCTCTGAGGAGGTATAACTTTGTCCTGTCTGGACAGACTTGGTTTAAAATCCTGTTTGAAAAAAAGATGCCGATTACTCAAGGGAAGATCGTTTAAGAAAACTCCCGTCTGCTCACCTGGTTGTGCATGGGCATCAGATGCGAAGATTGGAAGCAAAGAAGCAAGCGGACACACCTCACAGGACGACACAGGACACACCCACAACACGGCAGTCAGACCAGCAGACCGTGATGACTGTCCGGTGCGATCGATCCATTATGGCAGCATCTAAATACATGTAATAAAACAAAATGGCAGCAAACAATGACTCCTATCGCACGTGGATTTTAAAAAATGCTGATCTCCAAATCGAGTCCCGACTCCTGTACGTCGTTATGCACGACCTTTTCACTGAGTGATGGTTGTGGGTACAGCGCGATCTGTGATGGGCTTCCAGGCCTGATACAAAGAAGGTGTGCCCGGCCACCGGGCGCCCTGAAGGAAAGCTGTGATCCTTACAGAGGAGCTGCTGAAATCCTCCAGGGAAATATGGCGTCGGTTATCGCGCCGCCTCATTGCTGAGTCCAATTGGACCAAAGCACCATGATGCAGCAACTTCTTCGAAAGTCTTTGCATTGTATCCAGAAAGATATTCTTGCACGTCCCTTCATCTACATGGGACTCCAACAATTGTACCGGTAATACAAAGTCCAAAACCTCCAACATTTTCAGCAAAAGTTCTGAAATATCTGGAGGTATGGCACAGTGAACTCTTTCACACTGTACTTTAGTTGCTGAGCGGAAACTTGTTTTAAGAGTTTCGAAACAGAAGTGTAAAAATTAAAAGGGGTGTGTAAATCTGTTTTTCCTGCAAGCTCGCTTTTCCTTTGTTCAGAAATGGAATAAGTTCTGTTTTCTCTGAGAATTTTTTTTCTTTGAATGTATTATAACGTCTGTTGAATGTACTATAGTGTCTGTGTGTTTTATGTGTGTTGTATTGTGGTGAAATCAGGCATCGGAATAATTAGTTGAAGAAACCAACGTTCTTACTCCGCTGGATAATTTGTATCTATTTTATTCGTTTTTTTTTGGCTCAATCCTTTTTATATCCATGTAAAAGACATTTTAGTGTGCGTTTAACTGAAAAACATTTGGGAAAAAATGGGGAAAGTTGAAGTTTCCAAGGATTTTTCAAGTTTTGGAATTCACTAAACATGTGTTGGCCATTTTTCTTACTAATTTTATCTCTGACACCAGGCACCCCCTGGTCCCACTTCAATTGCAAATGTCTCGATGTCTATTCAAGATAGATGATTATTTTTTATATAAAAGCAAGACAAATGAATAAGCAAAAAGGCAATACCAATAACTCCATTTGCCCCAAATTGATGAGTGCCTGATTCCACCATGTAGTGACCCATATTCTTTGATTGTGTACTTTTCTATAAATGTGTGTTGTTGGGGGGTTTTTTTTCGAAGTATTTTTCAAACTTTTTTGTTCTTCTGACCTTTAAAGCATTGGTTGCCAGTAAAGTGAAGATTCTTTTACTTTATAGAGAATGCGGAGTTGTTTTATAAACTGGAGTGCAAGTTCATTTCGCTGGTCGGTGAACTCAGCACTGCTTCTTTGAACATTCATTGATGGGTTAAAAGGTAAAGAAAGAAAGAAAGAAAGAAAGAAAAGACAAATTTAGTGAGTTTTGTGAGGAAATTTGAATGATGTGGCATGAAAAGATCATGACATCCAAGCTACTTTCAAACAGTAATGTGCCATTGCCAGATGTCATGGTGAAATACGGCGCTCGTCAAAATAGTGACATCATAGAAAGTGACATTTTTCCACCTGTTGAGCATTTTTATTGACTTTTAATTAATTTAAAAAAAATTGGGGTTCAACACCTTTTACGTTCATTAAACAATCCATTTCTGTGTGAATTTTGCTGAAAAGTCTTGAACAAAGATGAAAAAAATAGTAAATTTGCAGTGTCCGAGGACAAGAAGGCTTTGGAAGTCATCAAGCTTTGGCGATCATTTTCTCCGTAATTTAACCTCTCACCAGGTGACCCCCATCTCTTTCGGTCACAAACATCTAGACTTCTATTCAAGATAGGTGGGTAATTTTTCATTGAAGGGAAGACAAATGAACACACTTTAAGATAATACCAATAACTCCACATGCCCATAAATTGACGAGTGCTTGATTTCACCGTGTCGCTTCGCAAATCCTTCTCAGCTCTATTTAGTTTTTTTACGTCCTTGACGCTTTAGCTAAGCCAGATGTTATGCCTTAAGATTGCAATATATATATATATATATATATATATATATATATATATATATATATATATATATATATATATATATATATATATATATATATATATATGTATATATATAACACACAGCTGAAGAGACAAGGGACTTTTTTTTTTTTAAACATGCCAAATATGTGGCAAATTATATGGATGATATTTACAGTTCGTCATCTCATCTCCTTCTCAAGATTATCTTTGCTCAAGTCTCTTCTTGTTTATAATTATATTCTGAAACAGATATGTTGCCTTTCACTGAAAGTTTTGTGTGGATTCCAAACAATGCAATAAAAAGAGTAAATCGACCATCGGAAAGATATTGTATATTGTATTACAAAAGCAAAAGTAATGTTTATTTTTAAAAAGATGAGTCCCTCTTTTAACAAGTTTTATTTAGGCGGAGAACGATGAAAGAATGTATCAGAGTGTATATTTAGCGTACTTACAGCATATTTTCGGCGTCCTTTTTGATCAAATGGCCAGAGAGCCTGTGTGATGTGCGACATCCAGTGTTTAGTTGTCGTCATGGATCTTATTCCCTGTGTATATGTACATTAGTATATTGTCTGTTGCCTGATAAAAAGTTCTGAAACCCTGTGTAAAACTTTGGTTGACAGTGCCCGGTTAGACTGCATGAAAATTAAAATAAATGTTTGTACAGAATACTGAGATTACTTTCGTGTAAATATGTATTTTCCTGCATTCTTCGTATGTAAAATTTTCTTGAAACTTTGACAAGTGATGCACAAGCAATTTTCAATGCATATTATACATAAAAATGTATTAATTTTACCTGTCTATACCTTGCACTTATTGAATGCAATGTAGAATTATATCTCCCCCCCCCCCTCTTTATTTTCCCCCTTCAGTCTGTGTTAAATGGGAACAGAGATGTATTCAAAGAGGAGAAGAATATATATATATCTTAATGGCCATACCATAACAAAGGCGTAAAGTCACTTTCTACGAAAGTTTGACTAGTTTGTATTAGTAGTCATATGAAAGTAGTAACAAAATGATGCTCAAGCACTGAAAAAAGCAACTCCTTCATGAAGAAGCTGCTGACACTGGGGTTGCTTTTGCCAAAGTCGCACGCAGCCATTTTCCTGTCTCCCCCCCCTCTCCCCCAAAAAGAATTTGGCTCTTATTCTTTTACATTATTGTAGTCTCGATGGTATGTGAACGCAAAAGGTTTTTTTTTGTAAGTGTTTTACGGCGCTTGCAACTGCGTACGGCCATATATGAGCGCATGGAACACTTTGAACATACACAAAAGTATGAAGGGGATGGGGCTAGTAAGGGACATATATATATACATGCATTTGGAATTCTATACAAAGATTAACGTTTTTTCCCCCAAAAATTGAGACACTAATAATTTTTATGCCTTGTTTTAAGACTTAGTTTTGTGTTGTTTATAATTGTATTTCATAATATTCATTTCTCACTACGTGGCCACTCTTAAAGAAAGTACTACTTATAGTGGATTGTAGCTCTCAGTAGAGACAAGGCCAGTAGTAACAGCATTGATGACCGACCATAATATGTACCTTGTTTTTCTTTCTGATTAGATGTACCCATAACAAATACAATCATAATATTTTCTGCAGGACTTATGTTTCATAGTAGCGGATATGCTGAAAGTGTTGATTTTTTGTGTTTTTTTTTTTTTTTGGTGAAAAAAATCAAGTTTGTAATCTCTACTTCCTTTGGAATGTATTGTGAAAATTGTGTAGTGAAAAGAAAACTGAGTGTTCTCCTTTTGACCCTGCTTTACAGGGTGAGTAAAAAAATATTTGAGTTGCTCATTATTCTTGTGACAGAGGTGATGTGTGTGACATCATGGTGAAATCAGGCGCTTGTCAAAATATGACATTTTAATGGAAAATACTGGCAATTATTCGTTGGTTTGGCAATTTTTATCAAATTTTTGTGCTTGGGCTCAACACCTTTAATGCACACTTAAAAACATACCCCTGCATAGATTTTATGGAAAAATTATGTTAACCAAAGACACAAAAGGTGTAAATTTGTAATTTTCAAGGACTCTACAGCATTGGAAGCGACCAAACTTTGGCGACCATTTCCCGCTGAAACCAGGTATTCCCACCCCCCTCAATCATATGTGGACTTCTATTTCCAGCAGATAGGTAATTTTTTCATGGAAAGGCAGACATATGAACAAGCTCTAAGATTATACCATTAAAGCCACACATATACAAAAATTGACGAGTGCCTGATTCCACCATGTCGTGACTCATATATATGTATATATAACACACATATTATTATAATGCCAAGTGAAAGTACTTCTTTCACAGACATACACTGTATTTGAAAATGCAATAGACTTAAGGAATGGGGGAGGGAAGAATTTGGCTGGCCAATAAAAGTTGTATATCCTGCAAATCTGACTTGGTTTTATTTTCTCTCATCTTGTCACTCACATGACATAGTCAACAACACTGGGCTTGACAAATCGCTACCTCAGAATTACAAAGTTCCATCTGCTCAGTACTCAGTTTTGAGAAATTTTACATCAAAGATTCTAAGTTTCACATCATGTCAAGCTTTTTCGAATGCAATGCTTTGAATATCTTATCAACGATTCCAAATAATCTTACCATTTTGATATATACATGTAATAGCAGATTTCTGGTTTCTGACCTCATGTTCTTAGTAACTTAAACATCTAAAATTGTCAGAGTGAACTTTGTAAAATTCTGAGGTAGAGAAATGTTCAATTTCCTAGCAAAAAGAATGGGTAAACAATTCCGTTTTTAAAACGTGATACAACTTACAATGTCCAATGCTTATCTCGATGCTCACAATGGTTTCTCTCCCCAGCATCACACCACACGGTTTTCCCAGCGTCTGTGGCGTGATGTTTTAGTAAGGTTTTACGGTGCTCGCAACTGCATAAGGTTATATGAGCACCAAGGGGTGGATCTCAGCAGAGAACTCCAAACAGAGAATCATCAGGCTTACTATGCTCATCTCTCAAAGCTCAACAGCACAAAGTCTGCTTCGACTATTAAGGAATCCCGCAAATAGCAGTTCACAAGAGAGTGACAAACATACAAAAGAGGTAGAGGAAAAATGACGACAGTAAGGATGAGGAAAGAAAAAGCAGCAGTTCCCCCTATGTTGTTCATGCACAGTATGAGCATAACATAGATAAATCAGCCCATTTACAATTCTACTGTGCATAAGAACATGTTAATATCCTCCCTTTGGGGATGGCCTAGAGACAACTTGAGTCAATAGCACTGCCCTGAGG